CATCAATGAATTTCTTTTCTTCCTATAATTGATACTATAAAGTATGTATTAAGAGAACTTACCGCTGTTTAATATTTCCATTTTCGTACGATCTGAAGCGCCGCTAAAAGCAATAATTTTTCTCTCCGTTATCTGGTCAGGTTCAGTAGTTCCAATCGATAGCACACCTAAGTGATTTAATTAAATTACTATTAAAATAATTCTTGATCAATTATTGTAATTAATTCAATGGTTCTAGATTCTATGAGCTAAATGGCTTAATTGCACGACTCTCATTGTCTTTTTGGGCGATCACTTCAATACAAACTTCAATTAGAATTACATCAAGGAACCCTATGACTAATAGAAAGAAAGACTGTTATTGTTTCTAATTGTATGAATTAATTGGAAATATATGTAAGGTAACTAACTACACTGTTTGAAGATAAGTAATGCATTTAAAGTCGTAATTATCATAATGCATTTACTACGTATAAAATATACTAAAACTATAAATAATATCTTAAATATGCTTGTTTATATCATGTTCTACTCCTATGAGAGAGAAAGAGAGAGTACAACTGATTGGATTGATTTCTAGTCTAATGAAATTTAAATCTTATTACTTTTTTTCCAATATGTGAAAATGTTCAAGTTGATTTGATTATAAAACAAATATAAAAAAGATTCCGATTGTGAAAATTAGAACAACACATATAAGCGAACAATATCATTGTTTTCGATTAGATCGTTATCAGGCTTTATTCTAATATACATGAAAATGTTATATATGAAATATGTTAAACCAATCAAGGCAATTTGAGTCATAATCACAATGAAATGAAAAAGATTACGTCACTACACACATAATAGGCAAAAGTACAAATGGATAGTAGGAAGACAGGTGTACTGATAGTAGCAAGAAAATTTTATCAATAGTTGGTCAAACGTGGATAAATAGACTTCAAATAATCAATACAAACATCAAAACCATTACGTAATAAGCAAAGGTGTAAAAAAATAAAAATAAAATAACAAATAAAAATATAATGTCAGTCGTTAGTTACGTACGTATTCCTACGGCTTCTGCAATGTGTAGGAGACGGGATCGAACGCCGTTGGGAAATGATGGAGGTATACTATAGATCACCCAAAAAGATCTAGATTTATCCTCAATGTGACCACTATCTACCAGGTGTGCTAAGATAGAACTGAGTATTGTTTTTGACTGACCCTTCGTAAACCATGCTTGGAGATGTTCATTCATTCGTTGCGTAAGTTGCCTGGAAGTACGCCCGATATAGCTATCTCCACAGGAGCAGCTGATTGTGTAAATGCACATAGAGGAGGCCAACTCAGGTAACTTATCCTTCGTTCGGGTACACATCGCTGGTCTTCCTACTATCCACTTGTACTTTTGCCTATTATGTGTGTAGTGACGTATTCTTTTTCATTTCATTGTGATTGTGACTCAAATTGCCTTGATTGGTTTAACATATTTCATATATAACATTTTCATGTATATTAGAATAAAGCCTGATAACGATCTAACTCCGCCAGTAGAACCTTAGGGGCTACTGCCGGTCCCAAGCCCGGATAAAGGAGGAGGGTTGGACATGGGGTTGGCCACCCCATTCCGTTGAAATCTCACTTGCCAAAAAAACGCTAACCAGAAAAAATAATTCAAACCATTTTAACTCTGCCCTGGGAGTTGGAAGAAGAATTATGACGTCTCGTGATGAAAGCCGAGTTCCCTCGGAAGTCACGGGGCTGATGCCTCTTCTGACAACCAGAGCAACCATTCTTTTAGGTACATGGAACGTTCGTACATTGTGGGAGACTGGAAGACTATTTCAAGTTGCGGCAGAAATGAAACGATACAACCTCGAGGTGCTTGGAATCAGTGAAACGCATTGGACACAAGTAGGACAACTGAGGCTAGCTTCAGGGGGACTGCTGTTATACTCTGGTCATGAAGAGGAAAATGCTTCACATACACAAGGAGTTGCACTGATGCTGTCCAAACATGCACAAAAGGCATGATAGGATGGGAATCTCATGGACCGAGGATCATTAAAGCATCCTTCAAAACAAAGAAACAGGACATTACAATGAACGTCATCCAATGTTATGCACCTACCAATGACTACAATGACGACGTTAAAGATCAATTCTACGAAAGGCTGCAGTCAATCGTCGATAAATGTTCACCAAAGGATTTGACGATTCTTATGGGAGACCTGAATGCCAAAGTTGGAATGGACAACACTGGATATGAAGACATCATGGGACGACATGGACTGGGAGAAAGGAACGAAAACGGTGAGAGATTCGCAAACCTATGTGCCTTCAACAAACTGGTAATCGGTGGCACAATATTCCCGCACAAACGCTTTCACAAAGCCACATGGATTTCACCGGACCACACAACTCAAAACGAAATTGACCATATCTGTATCAACAAAAAGTTCAGAAGGACCATGGAGGATGTGAGAACCAAGAGATGAGCTGATATAGCTTCAGATCACCACTTGCTGATCGCCAAAATGAGATTGAAGCTAAAGAAGCACTGGACAACGGGACAGACAACATCACAGAAGTTTAATACAGCCTTTCTTCGGGATACCGTAAAACTCAACGAATTCAAGATAGCCCTCACCAATAGGTTCCAGGCCTTTCAGGATCTACTCAATGGATAGGAAGCAACATTGGAGAACAATTGGAAAGGGATTAAGGAGGCAATCACTTCAACATGTCAGGAGGTCCTTGGTCGCAAGAAGCACCATCAAAAGGAATGAATCTCTGTTGGTACTCTTGAAAAAATTCAAGAAAGGAGGAACAAGAAGGCAGCAGTGAATGTCAGCCGAACAAGAGCAGAGAAAGTTAAGGCGCAAGCCGGGTATACAGAAGCAAACAGGGAAGTGAAGAAGAGCATCAGAGCTGACAAACGAAAATATGTGGAAGATCTAGCAATGACGGCGGAAAAGGCTGCAAGAGAAGGAAACTTGAGACAATTGTACGAAACAACAAAGAAGCTCGCCGGGAACTATCGTAAACCAGAACGACCAGTGAAAAGCAAGGAAGGGAAAATAATCGGCAACACTGACGAACAGCGAAATAGGTGGGTGGAGCACTTTCAGGAACTCTTGAATCCACCAGCTCCACTGAACCCACCCAACATCGAAGCAGCATCCAAGGACCTCCCAATTAATATTGGCGCACCTACGATTGAGGAGATCAGTATAGCCATCAGACAAATCAAGAGCGGCAAAGCAGCAGGACCAGACAACATTCCAGCAGAGGCAATCAAAGCAGATGTGGAAGCAACTGCGAAAATATTTCACATTCTCTTCAAGAAGATTTGGGATGAGGAACAAGTACCATCAGATTGGAAAGAAGGATACCTCATCAAAATATCAAAGAAAGGCGATCTCAGCAAGTGTGAAAACTACAGAGGCATCACTCTTCTTTCAATACCAGGCAAAGTCTTCAACAGAGTATTGTTAAACAGAATGAAGGACTTCGTAGACGTCCAACTTCGAGATCAACAGGCCGGATTTCGTAAGGATCGATCATGTACTGACCAAATTGCTACATTACGGATCATTGTGGAACAATCAATCGAATGGAACTCACCACTCTACATCAACTTCACCGACTACGAGAAAGCATTCGATAGCGTGGATAGGAAAACACTGTGGAGGCTTCTTCGACACTGCGGGGTGCCTGAGAAAATAGTCAACATCATACGGAACTCTTATGATGGATTCAACTGCAAAATCGTGCACGGAGGACAGCTAACCGACTCTTTCGAGGTAAAGACCGGTGTCAGGCAAGGTTGCTTACTCTCACCCTTTCTCTTTCTCCTGGTGATCGACTGGATTATGAAGACGTCAACATCTGGAGAGAAGCACGGTATCAACTGGACAGTTAGGACGCAGCTGGACGATCTGGACTTCGCAGATGGCTGGCTAGTATCTCACACGCAACAACAAATGCAAGAGAAGACGACCAGTGTAGCAGCAGCCTCTGCAGCAGTAGGTCTCAACATACATAAAGGTAAAAGCGAAATTCTCCGATGCAACACAACATGCACCAACCGAATCACGCTTGATGGAGATGCCTTGGAGGACGTTAACACCTTCACATATCTTGGCAGCATCATCGACGAGAAAGGTGGATCGGACGCAGATGTGAGGGCGCGGATGGGCAAAGCGAGGGTTGCATTTCTACAGTTGAAAAATATCTGGAACTCCAAACAACTTTCAAACAAAACCAAAATCAGGATTTTCAATACAAATGTCAAGACAGTTCTACTGTATGGAGCGGAAACATGGAGAACTACCAAAGCCATCATCCAGAAGATACAAGTGTGTTTATTAACAGTTGTCTACGCAAAATACTTCGTTTTCGTTGGCCAGACACCATCAGCAACAACGAACTGTGGGAGAGAACAAACCAGATTCCAGTGGAGGAGGAAATCAGCAAGAAGCGGTGGAAGTGGATAGGACATACACTACGAAAAGCACGTAACTGCGTCACGAGACAAGTCCTCACATGGAACCCTCAAGGCAAAAGGAAAAGAGGAAGGCCAAGGAACACATTACGCCGAGAAATAGAGAAAGATATGAGAGGAATGAACAAACATTGGACAGAATTGGAGAGGGAAGCCCAGGACAGAGTTGGTTGGAGAAAACTGGTGTGCGGCCTATGCTCCATTGGGGGTAACAGGCGTAAGTAAGTAAGCAAGTGATAACGATCTAATCGAAAACAATGATATTGTTCGCTTAAATGTGTTGTTATAAAATAAAATAAATCTAATGAATATTTTAGAATCGGAAATAATAAATGCTAATTTCTTCTTATATGTTAAACAATTTAAATAGGGCATTAATGTATGCAATCCATGATTGCTGGAATAAACTGCATTTAAATCCAACGGAAATTTAATTTTTAACTCTACAACTTCTTTCAACTATCGCATAATAATACAATTTCACTGGAATTAAACTTTCAAAAAATTAAAATTGATCAGAATTAATTTCTTTACCATTAGTTTGTGCAGTGATTGTTGTATAATTCATACCATAATACAATATTGGAAATATCGGTTTGAAAAGCTAATTGAAATAAGAATTTGAATTTGTTAATATAAACAATAGCCAAACAATTTACATAATTCTTTTTTGTTCGTTTATGAGGTTCGATAAATGTGACTGGACAACGATACATACGACTTACTCGTAGTGTATAATAATAATGATCTGACTATAAATTAGTTGTTTATTTACTTTGTAATAATTATTTTACTTCTTGATAAATAATATCTTTATAATCATCAAATACAATATTTTCCAGTTTCTTGATAACTCGTCGAATTCGTAATTTTCGGCACATTGAAAATGTAGTCAAATGAAAGTATATTAATAAACTAAACAACAGTTGATAAATTGTAAACCTATGAGGAAGAAAAAGTAACATTTTGTGAATAAATAAATTAGATATTACAAATATCTAACCAACACATACCTCATATTTTGATCAAGAGAGTGTAAGTAGAATTTTTGCATTGGTATTTATTTTATTGTTGTGATTAGTGTACTACTACTACTACTACTACTACTACTACCTACCAACCTATTTACATTCATTCAATTGGTCAGTCTCAAAACCACCAATACAAAAGTAAACATTGTAAAAAATGATTTGTCACCTAATTATCATTTGCAAAATCATCTGAAAGGTATCATTATTAATCATGACATTCCAAAATTTATGAATTCTTCAAAAATTATACCCATCTATGAGTGTAATGTTCATTTATTTTGAAAGTTTAATTTAGTTGAATTGTATCTAGTTAGTGCTTAATTGTGAGAATTCGTTTATTCTGTTATTGGCTGGCATTAGATTTCGCTCTAAAAGCTAATAAGAGAAGTGTATAATTTGGGCAACTGTAAAACTTGTATAGATAATTAACGCAGGAAGCTGGTTGATATATGTTTCGAATTTACAGAAATGCCGATGTAAGAATTTTGTTGGAATAAAAATTTTAATTTTAAACATAATCTTGAAACCATCACATTTTATCACATGTACACATATGGCCCCTAAATGCTCTGGCATGGTCAAGAGTGAGAAGAGTTCGATGTATTTCTTGAAATGTTCTCATATGGTCGCATGTATAAAGCTAAGGAAGTACCACTCACTATCTACTCGTGGTGAGGTTGTTGTTAACGAAATGAAGAGGACTGAACTCAAATGCCTATCTCTTTAACCGACTTGGTGAAAATGGAGGTTCCGCCTAATGGATCTGGAAAACCCTTATCCCAAACCAGTGACGGATGTGATCCCCAGTATCCTGATGGAACGAATGGCATATGAAACTACTATCGGTCACCGACTGTCATGGGACCGCATCTCCTAAGGTTGTTCCACTGCTCTGCTGACTAGACTTCTTGATCAGAGTTTCACGGAGTGGCCTTCTAATAGAACCACCTAGTTCGGTCTGCCCACCCAGCAGTATATCGGCCCACTAACAAATTCATTAATTCGTGTAACATATATACGTAGAGGTGTCTTTTTGTACCATTGGTTAAGTGTTTAAATCAATAAATAAAAATGTTTTCAGCACACTTAGTACCGTTTGCCTTGATCGCAAATCTATATTCTGAGTATCATGCGTAATTCTCATAGGAAATATTGTTTAATAGGAGAGATTATAGATTGAAGATAGCTGGTTATATTTGCTTAATACAAAAGCTGCTGATAAATACAAAGATAGTAGGAAACTTTCCATCAAATAGAATACATCATTTTAAAATATTATTCTTTGGTTATGATATAACTAAAAGAGTATTCACTGAACTCAGTTCATTCATTGATAATAAATGGCGCTTTTTCAACTTCATAAAGTCATTGTATACGTGCTCAGGATTAACATGCAGTTAACTTCCCTATGAATTGTATGACCAAAATTCTTTCTAACCGTAATCTTGAAACTCCAACAAAGAAAATATAATTAGGCAGTAGAATGCTCTTAACTTAACTACATACCAATATTCTGCAAATGTAAACTAGTTTAATAAATCTGAACACAAGTAGTGTAACTTCAGATGATAGAAACTGTTAAACAGATATAATACTGCACATCACATCGTAATCAAAATAGACAATATTCACAATAATAATTTACAATGTAGTTTACCATGAGCATACTACATAAAATCAGGAAATTATAGGTATTCGTTATGTTGTAACATGTTATGACTGATAAATTATCTGAAGAAGTAATTACCAGAATGAAACTGAAAAGCTCTAACGTGTAAAGAAGATCAAACACGTCAGACATGAGATGAATAACCATTAACTGAATTTACAAATGTGAAATGCTGCAATCAATCTTAACGATGTAACATCAACATCTATATCGCAAGGATTCAAAGATTCGGACTGAGTTGTTATTGCGAAATAGAGAACAACCAAAATTGAATGCAAGATGATCATCATCAATTTATTTGTATAGTTGTTCTTCGAATGAGGTCACACCATGCAGAACATCAAATGTGTTTTTAACAATTCCTAATTAAGTAACAAATACTCATCTAAACAGAAGAAAAGAGTAATATTTCTGTTTGCTTAACACCAAACTAGGAATAGCTCATATATCACTGTCTTACGTTTGTTCTTAAAGAATGTTAATAACAAATACAGCTTACATCTATCTATCTCATTTGTATATCTTCACATATCTTCATGATTCTGTCGATAAGCAGACAACTACAACAGATAAGTATTATAGCCAGGTGAACTCATAGAGATAAATGACAAGAATTTGTTGTCATTTTTACTTCAAATATAATAAAACATAAACAGAATTGCTCGAATTCCATTTTATGAACTTTGAGAATAAAAGTAAAATAGTTTTGCTGAAAATTGAGCGCTCATCCAATTATACGTTTTAATTGGAGCCATCATAACAATAATTCACCTCAATTTCAAAGTGATTTCATTTTTCGGTTCAATGAACACAGAAACACACATTTTTTATATAAATTTAGTCAACATAAGTCTAGATGAAGTTCATTCTTAAAACAAACTTGTGTTCAATATGTCTGAAAAAATTCAATCAATGAAACAGAATATTACAAGGCATAATATCTACTAAAGTAGTGAGTTTGAGTAATCTAATATCGAAACAATCCGTCGAATGGTCATTACTGTAAATTAACATATTTCGTGATAGGTTAGTCAGATGTACCTGATGTTTTAGAATGGCTACTGTTTTTACAGGTGTACAAACTCACGTTATTTACTACAGTAATAAGAGGAAACGCAACTGAATAAATTAAGCAGTGTTTTTACACATTTTAAATCATCAATCAATCATTGTTAGACCATCATTAGAAACCTAGAAGCAGGAGTCATGGATGCGCACTGTTGATGAGTCCCATACCAGTATGAAACGGCCGTCCAGTGCTTCCAGGTTTCTAATGGTGGTCTGACAGTGCTTAATTGATGATTTCAAATGTGTAAAATCTAAGAATTCTCTGTTTTACATCAAAAGACCAAACACAAGTTGTAAACAAACATAAGACAGTGATATATGAGCTATTCCTAGTTTGGTGTTAAGCTGATGATGTTGTTCAGAAGAACACTGAAAGCTCCACAACAAAAACACCCAGCTCAGAGAACCAAACACCACCACCACAATCATCCACCTGAGTAAAAATCTCCACAGGTTCAGAAGTAGTGCCTAGATTTCACAAAATACAATACAAAATTAATAGCCATGTTGATAATAAATGATTCAGGAGAATGACTCGATTAATCATATGCAAAATATTCACCAAATACAGCGTAAAGGAGTGCATTTTCAGAGGACGATTGTTTGGTCAGAAATAATTATGAAATTCACAAAATAGCTAACGATTTCTTATTTCCGACTAGCGTAAAATAATACTCATAGAAATATTGGATATGATCATAGTTTGTTCTTCAGGCTGGAGTGACGAATCACTTTATTTTCATGATCCTTAACATACGATCAAGAATAAATAACCTATGCTCTTTAAGGAAATTCAAAGACATATGGTTATGACCTTACTTCAATTAAGTGCTGATTCTAATAGCTACATAAATTTAGTAAATTAACGAATGTTTTCTTTAGTAAATTAAATACTATTATAACTCTCTACTTATAATGCAAGGTCTAAAAGATAGAAAACTTATTACCTAAGTAAGTGACATTATTTATACATAGTAATATTATCAAATGTTTAGAAACGCTTACTAATAACCAAGATAACTTCAACAAAATTACAAATGAAACTGTACTCTGAGTTAAATAATAACTCATTGGAGTGATCTGCATCATCCCTACTTAGCATATCATCTAATCCTCATTCGATAATTTATGAAATATTAGAAAGTGTTATAGTATTTGCAACCGATTGTTAAGGATAATCTGGATTATCGATTGAAAGGGATGAGAATTCTTGTGAATTGCAAAAAAAGGATTTGAGACGAAGGTAAATTAAGTCTTAAATACTATGCTGCTTTTTTATAATAAGTAGTTCGAGGGTGTATGCATAAATATTAATTCATCTCGTCGAGATTTTCATTTACTGACTAACTAAACTGGAAAAATATCTCGTATTGCGTATCAGAAAGATAACGAAATGCAAATAGACTAACATGTTGCCCTTGCTTTGGGAAGATAATCCTCGTTTCATGTTTTACTGTCAAGCATTTTAAGCTAAACTTCACCTGGAGAACCTTTGGAGGATACTTCCGGCCCCACACACGACATACTGTCAAGAAGGATACCGCATCCATATACCACAGATTGGAGGTCTCGATAAGTGCGCGAACTACAGGAGAATTACTCTTCTCTCAGTACGTGGCAAAGTCTTCAACAGTGTGTTTCTGAACAAACATATTAGTGCCACGTAAGTTCGCTTACTCTCACCCTTTCCTTTCTCCTGATAATCGACTGGATTAAGAAGACGTAGACATCTGGTGGGAAGCGCGGGATAAAATGGAAGGCTATTATGCAGCTGGACGATCTGGACTTCGCAGATACGTGGCTCTTCTATCGCACACGCAACAACAAATGCAAAGAAAGACGACCAGTGTAGCAGCAGGTCTCAACATTACATTAAGGCAAAAGCAGTATTTTCTGATACAATACAACATACGCTGAACAAATTACTCTGGATGGAGATGCCCTAGATGATGTAAACACCTTTACATATCTGATCAGCATTATCGAAAATCAAGGTGGATCCGATGCAGATGTGAGGACGCGGATCGGCACAGCAAGTGCTGCATTTCTACAATTGAACAACGTTTGGAACTCGAAAGAATTGTCAACAAATACCAAACTCAGAAGTTTCAAT